AGAGACATTAGCCCCATGCAGTTCGGTTTAGACTGTAGCGTTGTAAATTTTCATATTTAATATCTATATAATAATATAAATTCGGTTTTAAAATTTTGTGGTACGACCTGATTGGTTTCGTGCGTTTTAGGAATTTTAGAACAGTTAAAATATTATGACGTCTAAGAAGATTCTTAAATGCGTAATAACGCTTCAAATATTTTTTGTCTCTGTTACAATGTCAGGTAGAAACTCCGGTTTAAAATTAGGGATGCTAGAATAATCAATAAATACGTGTTATTTTTACCCAATTTAAAAGTATATATTTCAAGATGTTTTTTGTACAGGTTGTTATGAACACTTGCCGGAGGTATTTGTTTGTTTAAGAATGGAGGCAAAACTAGCTGCAAGACGAGAAGGGGAAATGGATTGTGGCGTCGAATTTGAAAAAAGTAACGCAGTAAGTCAGTCAAGCTAAATCAACCGAATGGTGAGGTCAAGCTAGAGCATTTAGACGAGAATGTTGAGGCAATTTGGAATCAACGGTCGCTTCATTTTTTCTTGGTGTAATGTTTTAAGACCGGTAAGGTTTTAATACTCTTTGCATTAATAGCATCTTAAACAGAGTATCAACCAAAAGATTTATGCAGTGTACCGGAAATTAATGGAATTTTTGAAGATTAATATATAGAATGTCCCCACCGGCATTTTTTTGTTTGCTGCTTGATTCGACCCCATTCACGTCTTAGATCGTCGTTCCTGAGTATAGAAATGGTTTCCTGTGTTCCAGTTTGAGAATTTATCCAAGTAGCTTCCTCAGAGATGTAGCAAGTTTTTTTTAAGTTAAGTAGTGCAATATATGAAAATAAGGTAACAATTGATATATTAATGTTTTTCAAGTTATATAGACATTTTTAATAATTGCTTTCATTAAAATAAAAGAATTTGTAATAATTAAAGTTTTATATTATGTTAGAGTCGTAGCAAAAAAAAAATGTCATATTCTATTTTGTCTTAAAATGATATGTTGACATATTACATTTTGCTCTAATCCATTGCTGTTAAATTCTTAAATTGTTGTAAAATTTTTAAATAAACCATTGCTGTTGTAAAACAATTTTCATTTGATTATTACATAGAAAAGATATTTCATATGTAAGGTTAAATTCTACAGTCTTTTCATAAAAAGGATATCCTTAAGTTTTTGATAATCCAATTTGGCCATATTATAACCTAGGAACCATTTCAAAAATTTTTGTAGCAATCTCTTTTGTATGCTTCTTGTGTAATCTGTATTTTTGAAAACTGTTTGTTTGAGACAAAAATAAACGTTTGCTTTGTTTGTCTGATCCATTTTGTGTTTTAATGTAGAAAAGTCTCCTAAGCCTGGTATGTATTTTTGATTTTAGGGAAGAAGAATTTTATTTCAACTTATCCACGACCCAGCTCTTCAACAAACCCTTAAGTGCCGTACGCACTAGTTTCGATTATTTTGTTTGCCCAATCTTCTACCCCATGTTCTTACCCTGAGGTAAGCAAAATAGTTCGTTACAAGTCAAGGAATTGGCACAAGAGAAGCACTTTATAGCTTAATAGATCCTGTACTTTATAGATTACCAGAAATCGTTCGATTATGTTAATCATTCAGAATTAGTAAGATTGCTCCAAGAATGTTCGATAGATGAGAATGACCTTAAAATCATAAAGAACTTTTATATGAATCAAGTGGCATCTGTGAGAGTAGGACTGGAATCTATACCATATTCCTCAATCGAAAAAGGTGTACGACAGAGTTGTGTTCTATCACCCCTCCTTTTTAATCTTTACTTTGAAACGATCTTCGATAAAGCCTTAAGTAGTGACACTGAAGATGGAATCAAAATCAACGGACAGACTATTAGTAATTTTCGCTATGCTGATGATACAGTCATAATAGCTGATAGCCAAGAAGCACTACAACGACTAATAGATAGAATAAACACTAAAGGAGAACGACTTTGATTGAAAATTAACATAGACAAGACGAAGATATATATATATATATATATATATATATATATATATATATATATATATTATATATATATATATATATATATAGTACAGGTTGTTTACAACTGTTGTTGTTTTCCTGTCCCTACTTTCCATCGTTTCCTGTCTCAGGTGTCGGCTTCATTTAGCTGTCTTCCTTCCATGGCTTCATTCACGTCATCTCGCCAGCTTCTTCTTGGACGCCCTCTTTTCCTTCTTTCGGTTGGGATCCATTTTAATATTTTCTTTGGCCACCTTTCGTCTGCCATTCTGTTTACATGACCGAACCAAGTTAGTTGTTTTTTCTGGACTTCATCTATAATGTCTTTTTCTTGCTCCATTCTACGTTTTATTTCTTCATTGCGGATTCTGTCCATCCTTGTCAATCCACAGCTTCTTCTCATAAAATCCATCTCGGTAGCTTGTAATTTTTTCCTGTTTCTTTTACTAGTGTCCCATATCTCTGCTCCGTATGTTACCACCGGCTCAACCATCGTCTTATATATTCGTTTTTTTCGTCGTTCTTGTGATTTTTGTATCCCAGAGAATGGAGTTTAGGCATTTGGTAATGTTTCTGCCTTTGTTTATTCTTGTATTTATTTCTTCATGGCTATTTCCGTCTTTTGTAAACACTACTCCTAGGTATTTTACTCTATTTGTTCCTTTGATTTTGTCACTCTCCAATGTCAGGTCTTCGACTGTATTTTTCCCCACTGTGAGATATTCGCATATTTGTAAGTTCATTGTCAGTCCACATTCTTCGTACGCTGTTTGTAGTTTCCTAACCATATAACTGAGGTCGTCTATATCTTCTGCTACCACCAGTTGGTCATCAGCGAAGAATAGTGTATAGAGAATATCCTCATCTATTTGTATTCCCATATTTCTGCATTGTCTTTGCCACTTTTGTAGAGATCGATCCAGATATATTTTAAACAGCGTAGGTGATAAACAACATCCCTGTCGTAGCCCTTTCGTAGTGTTGAATTTCTCACTAAGTTTGCCACCTATTTTAATTGATGCGGTGTTGTTTACATACCACTTTTGAGTTGCTATTATTAACGAAGGTTTTATTTCCATGTTTTGCATTTCACTCCATAAATTATTTATCGGCACGTTATCATATGCCTTTTCAAGATCTATCAGGGCTATATGCGTTTCTTTGTTTCTTTGTTGTCGCTTTTCGATTAATATTTTAAGTGTAAATAGATTATCTATAGTCGATCTTCCAGCTCTGAATCCGCATTGTTCTTCTGGTTGTTTCATACGAATGTCTTCTTCTATGAGGTTTCTAAGTATTCGGGAGTACAGTCGTCCTATAGTGGGGATGACAGCAATTCCTCTATAGTTTCTGACATTGTTTCGTGCTCCTTTTTTGTATATTGGGGTTATATAGGCCTCACGCCATTCTAACGGGGTCTCTTCTCCATTCAGGCATCGTTGGAACAGATCTTTGAGCATTTCCCACAGTTTAGCTGAGCCGTATTTGATAAATTCTGGTGAGATGTTTCCTGGGCCTGGCACTTTTTTTAAGTTTAAAAGATCTTATCGCTTCTACGATATTTGTCATGTTCAATTTAATGAATTCTGATCGTATGTCTCTGTTTGCATTTTCGTATTGAAAATTTTGTCGTCCTTCTTGAAGTAACTGTTTAAAGTAGTCTATCCAGTCTTTTTTCTGTTATGTTACTTAAATCTAATTTATTGTTGGTTGACATTTTCATAGATTTTAGCGTTTTCCAGGCTTCTGAACTTTTCGATCCTCCGATCATTTGTTCTATGTATTTGCATTTCTTTTCCCAAGATCTATTTTTCCTTTTTGTTACTTCCGTCTTCATCAGTCACAAGACGAAGATAATGGTGGTTAGTAGAACACGAAATATGCAATAAAATATAACAGTTAACAATAAGAACATCCAAAAGGTTCAGATATCTCGATAGTTGGAGAACTGACGATCTAGATCCAGACATAGAGATACGTAGCAGGATTGAGCAAGCCAGAACAGCATTTACTAATATGAGAACCTTGCTAAGCAACAGCAGCCTTAACTTAACGCCTCGATATCGCTTTGTAAAATGTTAAATTTACTCCATACTGCTATATGGTGTAGAAACCTGGACCATAAAGGCCAATGTGATGAACCGATTGGAGGTCTTTGAAATGTGGGTATTTAGAAGACTACTTAAAATTCCCTGGACATATCACACAACAAATATCGAATGGACAGAGAACGAGAATTGTTGCCAATAATAAAAAGAAGAAAACTGCTTATCTGGGTCATATATTTCGAAATTCCAAGTACAATCCTTAAAGCTTATTATGGAATGGAAGATAGAAGGAAAACGGGGCATCGGAAGAAAGAAATACTCATGGCTTAAAAACATAAGGGATTGGACAAACCTCGATGCCATGCACTCTTTAGACCCACACAAGATCGAGGGGAGTATGTCATAATTATCGCCTTCTTTTTCTTCAGATGCAAATCCACTAATGGATGTTAGCGATCACATTTTCCATTAATTCTCTATTTCTTGCATTATGTATCAGAGATTGTATGTCGTTAATCCCTGTCCATTGCCTTATGTTTTGAAGCCAGGACATTTTCTTGCATCCCATTCCTCTCTTGCTTTCAATTTTACCCTCGATTATAAGTTGGAGGAACTGGTATTTTTCATTTCGCATGATATGACCTAGATACGCCGTTTGCCTGTCGCCAACATCCACTAATTGGATAGGGCACCATAAGAAGAAGTAGTAGTACTGAATATAATAAAGAAATCTAAACGGTGGTTTGATAAAAATTATGACAAATAAGCTGGGGGTCAGGGGGATTTTACACGACTTTCTCTTATATATACTTATATAAATAAATAATGCGTGATAATTAAATTAAACCATTTTTTGTCGAACTTGTTTTATTAACCAATAAAGTGTCATTTTTATCCGGTAAAGTGTTAATTTAATATACAATTGAGTATGTAGTAAAGTACCACAATATCAGTCTAAATACGAAAAAGATATTTACAGCATAAAAATTTCCTAATCGGAAGCTTTAATTTTCCGATTAATTAGAACCTCTTTTTTCGACACATTCATCATTTCGGAGCGTAAAATCCCGGCTTCACTAAAAAAGTGCGAAACATCCTTGACGCCATAAAACATCTCAGGTAGATATAAAGGTATATAAAAAGAATAATTTGCCTATTTACGAGATATTCATCTTTTTAAGTTTATCGTTAAATTGCTACTCAACGAACAATTACTGAAAATCGTGTTTGTGTCTATAATTTGTTTACTTTGAAGAGCATTTTAAGATGAGGGGTGTGTCTGCAATAGTGGTGAGTTTGTTAGTCTAATTTTTGATAAATGTAAAAATAATAACATTTATTTGATGCTAGATTTTTTTTATTAAATTTATCTTTTTAGTACGAAAATAAAAAACCACGTTTTTTTTTTCAGTTAGTGGCACTATGTAATTTATAATAATAATAATAATAATACTTTATTTCCTTTTTGACAAATACAATTTGTATAGGATCAGTCACAGTTTAGAAAACAAAATTACTAAATATAGATGTAAATCTAAAATTACGCTAAACCTAAGGTTACAAACACAAATAGAAAATGTAAAATTACTAGCATATACTTAAAATAATGTCAACTACTAAAATATTCATCAACAGAATAAAACGTATTCTGCAATAAAAAATCTTTTAAAGTTAATTTAAATATTTTCATATTCTTACATTTTTTTATTGGCTCTGGTAACTTATTATATATTCTTTGACCTATTATTGCAGGTGAGTAAAAATGCGTATTTCCTTTAGAAAAAGGCACATGCAATTTTTGATTCTGCCTTGTATTTTTATTGTGAATTTGACTATTAGTGTTAAATTTATCAAGATTTAAATGAATAAAAACACAGACTTCAAAAATATATAAGCACGGCACAGTTAAAAGTTTATATCTAGTAAAATAACTCTTACAGCTAGTTATTCGAGAAATACCAGCAATACAACGCACTATTCTTTTTTGAGATAGAAAGACTTCACTGAATTTACAAGACGTACCCCAAAATACTATGCCATACCGCAAACGAGACTCCACCTGAGCATAATACAGCATAATTAGCTGTTTTTCACTTAGCGTATCTTTGAGGTTTCGAAGTAGGTAGCATGCTGAGTTTATTTTGGAAATAATATCATCACATTGGTAAGATTCGTTTTGGTAAGATTCTTACCAAAACGAAAACAATGACAAACACACAAGATAATAGAAACGTAATACTAAATGGAATCACAATAGAAGCGGTTAATGATTATATATATTTGGGACAGATAATAAAAATAAATAAGGAAAACCAAACAGCGGAGGTAAAAAGAAGAGTCAGATTAGCCTGGGCAGGATTTGGGAAATTAAAATGGGTCCTAAAGAATAAGAAAATACAACAGTACTTAAAAACAAGAGTGTTTGACCAGTGCATACTCCCAATTCTCACATACGCATGCCAAACATGGACTCTGACCAAAGCAAACATGGATAAGATAGTGAAGACACAAAGAGCCATGGAGAGAGCAATGTTGGGAGTAAAATTAAAAGACAAGAAGCAAAACATCTGGATAAGAAACAAAACAAAAGTCAAAGACGCAGGTCAACATATAGCCAGGCTAAAATGGAGTTTCGCAGGTCATAACGCCAGACAAACAGACAATAGGTGGAACAACACGATACAACATTGGAGACCATGGACAGGAAAGAGAGCAAGAGGACGACCCCAGATGAGATGGGGAGATGACATTAGAAAGATAGGAGGAATACACTGGAAACAGAAAGCACAAAACAGAAGCGAATGGAGGAAACTGGGGGAAGCCTATGTTCAAAATTGGACGAATTAAAGGGCAAAAGAAGAAGAAGAAGATATCATCACATTGCCTTTTCCAATTGAGACACTCATCAACATACAAACCCAAAAACTTTAGGCATTGAACTTTTTCAATTTGTGTAGAATATATTGATAGTTCGATATCTAACAGATGTTTCTGTCTATTGTGGAAGTGAATAGCATGCGTTTTATCCGCATTAAGATGTAAGTAATTTGAGGAAAACCAATAACTAAGATCACACAAAAGTTCGTTACATTTATTTTCAAGAGATATTTGTGATTTGTCTGATATAAGTATTGAAGTATCATCTGCGTAAAGTGTGAACTGTACAGCAGAATTTACTGAGACAATATCATTTAAGTAAATAAGAAATAATATTGGGCCAATTACAGAACCTTGCGGAACACCCATATGAATGTAAATATAATCTGATTTGCAAACATTTTCTGAGTGCTGGGATAAATCTGTTAAAGAGACGTACTGACGACGTTCTGATAGGTAGGATTCTATCCATTTTAGAGAGAGATCTTTTATTCCAATATTTTCTAATTTATTAATGAGTAAGGTATGATCGACACAGTCAAATGCCCTACTGAGATCACAAAAAATTCCAACAGGGCATTCATCCGCATCAATATAGTTAGTTAAAGTCTCATAAAAAGAATGAACTGCTGTGTTTGTAGACTTACCTGCCTGAAAGCCATGCTGACATTTATTAATAATACCGTTCTCCAATAAATAAGAGTTTAATCTGTTAAGATAACAGTATTCGAATATTTTCGAAAATACCGAAGGGACAGTTATTGGGCGATAATTACTAATATCCTTTGGATCACCTTTCTTATGTACAGGAACGACTTTTCCCACCTTTAGATAATCCGGGAAAATACCATTGCAAAAAGTCAAGTTTATTAGAAATGTTAAAGGTGATAGTATGAATGGAATTACTTTTTTTAATAAAAATTGAGGTATTTCATCAAATCCACACGATTTTGAAGATTTCAATTTTCCTATCAATAATTCACTCAGCTCATTTGGAGTATAAGGATATAATTGTAAAACATTTTTATTTTCATTATAAGGTGGTTTCCTCAAAGTACTATTTTGATGACTGGGAATTTTAGAACGTACCTCAATTGGGGCATTTTTAAAGAAAACATTGAACATGTTAGCAGCAATCGGGCATTCCTCTATTACACAATTTTCTTCTGATTTTAGGCATATATTTTTCCTTCCTTTATTGTCAACTTTATTAGTCATGTCAGCAACAAGTCTCCAGGCACTTTTTGTAGGATTATCTGATGACGAAATAATATTTTGGTAATAATTTTTCTTTGTCAAACATAAAAGTTTCTGGTGTTTCTTTTTTTCTAACTTGTAATATTCACGAAGACACGGACAGGATCTAGATAAAACATGCAAGTTTTTTAAGTTACTACTAGATAAGCGTACTTCGGTGTTCACTCATTTTTTACGATCATTTATAATACGTTTATTTTGCAATGGAAAATTAATGTTAAAATAATACGAAAAAATATCAACAAACACATTAAAAGCCAAATTAGTATCGAGTATACCGTAAACAAGATTCCAATCTTCCATCACAAGATCCATAATAAAATTATCTATCCCACTCTCAGAAAAATATCGCTTTTGACAAGACATAGGCAAGGTCGATATATCGATTTCAAGTTCAACTAAAACAGCTCTATGATCGGACACAGTGTTGTCAAGAATACATGATGTACCTAAATTAGAAAAATTTATAAAGATATTATCAATTGTTGTTATGCTGGTATTTGTTACTCTTGTAGGCCATTTGACAAGATTAGTATTTATGTTATAAGCAGATAAGCAATTAAGTAGTTTTGTTTGGTTATTGTTTGACGTTTTCATATCAATATTAAAGTCACCACAAATAATATAACATGCATTTGGCTTGTATAAATGATTTAAAAGACAGTCAAGATTATTTAAAAATATATTTATATCTCCACACGGAGATCGGTAGCAATTCAATATGTAAAAGATATTACTGTTTTTATCCCTAATTAAAGAACAACAAAACTCTGAATGTCTATCAGAACAGAATTTTTTAACATCAATGTTATGACCGTTTACATTTCTCTTTACGAATATTCCTACACCACCTCCTCTTACTAAAGAGTTTCTACAATAACTACTACTTATAGTAAATCCATCAATGTATACATTATTAATAGAGTCAATGGTTTCCCATAATTCTGTTAGACATAAGATTTCTATATTTTTAAATGTATTAATATCCACAACAATGTCACATATTTTATGGTTATTTATACTTTGAACATTTAGTAACATTAATTTAGGGTTAAACATTACCTCTGGGACCTCTGATTTTTCCCTAGGTACAAAAAATTGTTTACACATGCATTTTCAGGCCAGAGTGCTGGATCCATAGCTTTATTGAAATTATTTTGATATATTCGGACCTTAAATGATGAGTAAAGACTTGGGTAGCGAGACTCCATAGATTCGCAAAGCACTTCCGGAAAATGGGGTTTCAAAGATTAATTTAATAATTTATATAAGGCTCCAGTGGTAGGTTTTCTCAACTCTAACCATTTTTCGTACTAGTCCTAGTCAATTATTTTAATTTTCCCATGTTTTTCTTTCTTTTCTGGCTATTTCAAACTTTTGTTTACTTGAGTCTTCTTTTCCTTCTACTTCTTTTTTTTTTTCGTATACCCTTTTGTAAAGGTCCATTTTGCAAATCGTTGTTCCCTATTTTATTTTGCTATTATGCTATGTCCATGTTTCACTTGCGTGTAGTATTACCGATTTGGCTATGGCTTTATACATGTGTAATTGTAAGTTGTAAGTGTAATACGTTTTCTTTGTTCTATTTGCTGTGTCAACATCCATTTTTCCATCATTTGGTATCATAACTCCTATAGTTCAATCAATGAAAGTAAAATACAGTGTAACTGTATAGTTTTTGAGCCTGTGCCGATTTGCACCAAAATTTCGCTATAGGGTCTACTTCAAATTCTATCATTATTTTATTATTTCGTATATCGTATTATTTTCGATTGATTTGAATAGAGTCTATTCAAATCAATCGAAAACTACATATAGAACTACATATAGAAAACCAAAACCTTCAATTTTGTATAGATACTACAAAATTTTGAGTGTCTCTAATAGTTTTCGATATATTTGAAAAAAAGGGAATAAAAAGAGGAAGAAATATATAAAATTCTCATCTCACTTCAAACTCAATTTTTTAAAACGTTTTAAACCAGCCATTATTTTTAATTTCACTTGTACTTAGGGAGTGATCTTCACGTTGTTTGTAACTGAAAAACATAAGTTATTTTTGTCATAACTCCGTTAGAATTAGTATTACAGGACTTTTATAAAAAAATAAAAATAAAGATTTTTCAAGCACTGTAAAAAAGATTCTGTGTATTTTTCACGGAACACGCATTATTTTCTACAGGCACTATAAATTTACCATTCTTTTTCGTTTTTTATAGGATACATTTTTTATAATAGTAATTTTTTTGATAAAATACATACTATTTGAGTAATTGGCAAAACACCTTTTTTGCAGTAATTTATAAATTTAGAAACTTTGTTTTTTTTTGTATAATGACATACTTAAAAGTTATATAATTTGTTTATCTCGGAGAGCGAATATTTAAACAACTGTACTTGTCCAAACGGCGAGTCTAGATGTATTTAGCAGATCTGAATCGATTGTTTGAGCCGTCAATTTTAAGATATACTAAATAATTTCAAGATTTTTTTATACTTTTTTTAAACCGTTTGAAAAAGGGCTGACTTTAAACATTTATAAACATTACTTACAAATATTTATAAAGACTTTGATATTTTTTGTTAAGCGCTTGTAAGTAGGCTCACTGAAAAGATGATAAAAAAACACAATCTTAAAATAAAACCTTCTATGACCAATAGGAATCAATTTTTTTCTCTTAAAATCATATTTCCATTGTTTATTAACATTAAGAGCTGAAAATTGAACAGATTATAAACGAAGATAAAAATTTTATGATCCATTTTATGTATGGCATATATCGAGAAGGAAAAAAATGTATAACCGGTTAAACTGATGGTACTCGTAAAATAGTGCCTGTCCTAGTTTCGTTTTTTTTTTAGAATGGAACTCCAAATTGGAGGTCGCTGAAAAAATTTGTAATATTTCTATGGCACACAGAAGCTTCATTTTTTAATTAAATTGCGGTATTCCGATAAAACAACTTTGCAATTTTCACCTGCCGGGAAAATCGAAAAATTCCGGAAAAGTCAATCAGTTTAATTTTTCCATACAATTTAATTTTCCATTATTTCGTAAAAATATTTAAATTTTATTGATTAATGTATATTATTTATATAAATATATAATAATTATTATTTTTTTTTTTTTGTAAAGAACAAAAAGATTCGTTTCAAAATTTATTTTAAAACCATCTATTGTACTTGCTTCGGCGGTACATATACTAAAATTGGAACGATACAGAGAAGATTAGCATGGCCCCTGCGCAAGGATGACACGCAAAATCGTGAAGCGTTCCACATTTTTCAGAACAACTTCGATAAATAGGTGAACATACAAGCTGAAATAGGTGAACCCATCGTAAACAGCTTCGTAAACACTAAACCACGCTTCTAACATACATGTAAATAAAAGAATTCCAATAAATATCAATTTAAATATATCTATGATGAATAACTCGTCAAATTTCAAACTTCCATATTTCTGCAGAATCCATCATGCAATGAAACTACTTTACTCAGGTAAAATATCTATCCCTCATCTGTTTAATAAAATTTATGAAACTGGCTATATACCAACGGATTGGCGGCTGTCGACTTTTGTGACGATACCTAAAAAAGCAAATGCAAAAAGATGTAGTGACTACCGAACCATCAGCTTGATGAGTCATGTTTTAAAGATATTTCTACGAATTTGCACTCTAGGATGTACCAAAAAATAGAACAACAACTTGGTGACACACAGTTTGGATTCCGCAATTACCTTGGAACAAGAGAAGCACTATTTAGTATTCAGGTTATGGTACAGAGATGCAGAGATGACGGACATCCAGTTTATATGTGTTTTATTGACTTTGAGAAGGCCTTTGATCGAGTAAAACATACTGAAATGATAGCCATTCTTCAGCAGGTAGGTATTGATGATAAAGACCTACGCATTATTAAAAATCTTTACTGGCATCAACGTGCAAACATCAGGATTGGCCGGGACACTTCTGAAGAGCTTCAAATACGAAGAGGAGTAAGGCAGTACTGCATTTTGTCCCCGCTACTATTTAACATCTATTCTGAGTTTGTTTTCAATAAAGCAGTGGATAATGTTCAATGGTATGGTTTAATGGTTCAATGTGGTATAAAAATGAATGGCGTCAATATTAATAATTTGAGATATGCGGATGACACAGTATTAATTGTAAGCAATTACGAAGAACTTCAACATCTAATTAATAGGATTACCACAACGTGTGATAAATATGGCCTTAAGCCCAACACCGCAAAGACAAAGGTGATGGTCGTCAGTAAAACGCCAATACAACCGGAAGAAGCTGGTAACAGCTTATGGGAAACAACTGGAGAGAACTAACAGTATCACTTACCTTGGTTGTAATCTAAATGAGAACTGGGATATGAGCAAAGAAATTAGAATACGGATAGAGAAAGCCAGAGCTGCATTCTTCAAGATGAAGAAACTGTTATGTGGAAACAATATTACTTTAAGTCTGAAAATTAGATTAGTGGGATGTTATGTGTTCTCTACTCTTTTGTATGGTGTCTAGTGTTGGACTTTGACGGATACACTTCTCAAGAATCTGAAAGCCTTTGAAATCTGGGTGTATCGGAAAATCCTACGAAATAAGTTGGGTTATGCGCCACCCAGAGAGATATAATATACTCCATTTAATAATACAAGGTAAGGTAGATGGAAGAAGAGGGCCATGTAGACGAAGAACGTCATGGCTTGGAAACCCGAGAGATTGGTTTAACAGATCTTCTGCATCTCTTTTCCGAGCTGCAGTCAATAAAATTACAATAGTCAATTTGATTGCCAACGCTCGATAATCGAGCACGGCACATGAAGAAGAAGAATGAAACTACTTAACTGGAAGCAATTCCCACCCTTATATCAATACAAAAATATACCTTCATGTCCACTTTGGACTGTAAAAATTCCAATACTCAACTGTAGTCTATTACAACTCCAAAAAAATAGCACTAACCACAATCTTATTATCTTCTTCTTCTTTTTGTGCCACTCCTATCGGAGATTGGAAATCATCAAGGCTATTCTGACCTTGTTTACGGCTGACCTAAAGAGTTCATTAGTGGTGCAGCCAAACCACTCTCTCAAATTCCGCAACCATGACATTCTTTTACGACCTGGATTCCGTTTTCCTTCTATTTTTCCCTGCATTATATTTTGAAGTAATGCGTATTTATGTCCTCTCATCAGGTGACCAAAATATTCGAGTTTTCTTCGCTTTAGCGTTAACAAAATCTCTGGGTCTTTTCCTATTCTTCGTATTACTTCACAGTTTGTTATTCTTTCAATCTTATTATACAATACTTCAAACATCTAATTAACTCTCATACCGAATACGCAGTATAATACACATAATATGTATCTAAAACTGAAAATGGAGTCAGGGTGGCAATACTTAACAACACAGAGATTCTCAAACATAGAATTCCAGATACTGCAGCCGTATTCACAGGAGAACTTTATGCGATCTACCAAGCATTACTACATGCAAATGCGAATAAGGTGAACAAAATGTTAATCGTGACAGATTCTATGTCAGCACAAAATATACACCCAGCATCCATTAGCTTTACTAATACAGGAAGAACTAAATAAATTACATACTACAGATATAAGTATCAAGTTTGTGTAGGTCCCATCACACGTTATAATAGCAGGTAATGAAGCAACCGACCGAAATGCCAAAGAAGCCATAAATAATAACAGCACCCAAATGCCTCTCCAATCTGTTATAATGGATCTTAAAAGGTATTTTATGGAACATATTTTTAAGATCTGGGACAATAAATGGAAATCCACACCATCGAAGCTTCAGGAAATAAAAAATAAAATTGGACCATGGCAACCACCCGATGTATCTAGACGTAAGCAAATGATCATTTCCCGTTTACGACTTGGACATACCCAGTTTTCCCATGAACATGTGTTTAAAAAAGAAGAACGCCCAATTTGTGATCAGTGCTGTTCACCCCTTACAGTAAAACATGTGCTAGTGGAAATGTTCGAAAAGTTCAATATCCATAGAATAGCATAGCATAGAATTAAATACCATTTACCAAATAATCTTAAAGACATTTTAAACTCAAATAACAATATTGATAAACTACTTTTGTTTTTAAAAGATTGTAATTTAATAAGTAGAGTGTAATTAATTGTAACCGTTCCGCTAATAACCTTATTAGGTTAAAGCGGGTTTTTTGTAAATAAAAAAAAGACATATTCAGATAATGTAAGAAAATATGTCGTTTTTTATTTTAATTTAAATAAAAACATTTGGGGTATTAATTTATAGTTAATATTATATATTTATATAAAATATACAAAAATTATTAAAATTTAAATATTTCTTTATTTTCTCTATTTCTCTATTTGAAGATCTATCTCTTAAAATTTTTCCTCATAGTATGTTTGTTTTGCCTCCCTTATCATGTTCTGATTTCATTGTTGATAATTTTGTAATTGTGACTGTGACTTTGGTCCATCCTGCCGAGTATTTCGTCGGTCATCCAGTTGCCTTTCTTTCTTATCGGTTCTTTTAATTCTCTTTGAATTAAACGAGGGGCAGTTTTTTAATGTTTCCAATTGTTGGTTTTTCTCGTAGGTGTTAGTATCTAATTTATCAAAGTTTTTGTATATTTTCTGTTGGAGTTTGTTTTCCATATCAGCTTCTTTCAGTTTTCTAACATCTAATTTTGGAGTTCTTTGGGGTTTTTTAATACGTTTAAACTTAAGCGTCACATTAGCGATTACTAGGTTATGGTCTGATGTGACATCTGCTCCTGGATATGTTTAACTGATTTGATGGTGTTACGATATATCTCTTTAATTATTATATTTATTATGTACTACATTATACACTGCCAACTACGGCAACATTATACACTGTTAACTCAGAGTAAAAAATACTTTAGTGTAGGATTTATAGCAATATCTCTATATAAAGTGGGAGTTAAACATTTATTCTTTGTTCTAGGCATCTCTCTGTGTCATCCTCTTGATAATCCAAACTATATCTGCAGCACCTGCGCCAGATCCTCATTGGGGAGGAGGACATGGTTACGGAGGAACAAAAATAATCGTGATTAAAAAAATAGGATATGGCGGTGGTGGATATGGACATCATCGCGGTGGATATGGCGGAGGACACGGTGGTGGCTACGGAGGCGGGTACGGTGGCGGCTATGGAGGAGGCGGTGGTTATGGTGGGGGCGGCGGATGGGGAGGAGGCGGTGGATATGGTGGCGGATATGGAGGTGGTGTTGGATTTGGATTCGGCGGAGGTGGGGGTTACGGATATGGAAAATAAGTCAAAACCAGTGACGATGGTTCAATTGAAAGTGATAAAAACTATTGTTTATACCGAATTTTAATATGTGGACTTGATAAAATTGTATATTTCCTTTATCTTTATTGTATATTGTAAAATGTTTTTGTAATTAGAGTATTTATTTTTATTTGTTTGATATTGTGGCTAATACTCTAAGTATAACAGAACCGATGTGATAAATTAAAAAAATTATTTTTAATTGTACTAATAAAGATTTTTGAGCTCTAGTCTTTCTAATTGTAGTTTTTTTATTAGAAATAATCGTAAGATAATTGGTAGAATTCTTGATGTATGAGGAATCAAACATATAAGTACTACCTTTTTATTCCCAAAATAAGACAGTCAAATGAAAAAAAAGTAAGTTAAGATCATACATACACATACAATTTACAGTGATTATACTCTATATATCATAATACTCGATAACAAATAGTTTTCAGTTAATACATCTAGACGCATGGAAGGGTGGAATATCAGTAGGATGTCAAAAAATCAGTAACTTGATTTATGCTGATGACACTTTAATAATCGCAGCAAGTCAAGAAGAAAAGGAAGATAATGAGATGTCTGGAGGATAAAAGCAAAACAGTCTGAACTAATGGTAAATAGGAGTAAGACAAAGATCATAATAGTAGACAGAGCTCGGAATAATCTTTAACATATTAAATAAATTCGGGGCTTTGAAGTAGTAAATAGTTTCATATACCTGGGGTCTCTAATAACAAATGACGGAGTGCGTGACAGAGAGATACGTAGAAGGCTGATTATTGCTAGAACAGCTATGATGAAACTGATAGCAATTTGGAAAAATTCTAGTAGAACAATACACACAAAACTAAGGCTAGTAAGGGCGCTCATTTTTCCCATAGTTACATATGCATCCGAAACGTGGACCTTAAAAAAAGCAGATAAAAAAAACTGGACGCTTTTGAAATGTGAGTATACTGCCGCATATTGAAAATATCTTGGATTGATCATCGTACTAACGCATCGATATTAGAAAAACTTAAAGTAAATGATAGATACAACAGAGATATTTGCAGTATTTTAGACACATTGCTAGAAGAACAGGCACGATGGAAAAACTGATAGTCAAGGGTAGAGTTGAAAAAAAGAGACCCAGGGCACAGTATAGTGCTTATTAGCACTATACTGTGCCCAGGGGAAGATCTACAAGCCGTTGCGTAGATCAAATAAAAATATTGATTAACCAAGGGTTACATGAAGCCGAACAACTAGCCCAGGACAGAGAAGGATGGAGGGAAATCGTGAAAAAACTGTGAAGGCGGATATTAGCTTATACGTATTTCATTCTAGCAGGCATTAGGGCGACTGTTATAGAATCTCTAAATGTGAAACCAAATTTTTTCCGTCAAAAGATAATATAATAAAATGGCTTCAATATGGACGTTATGAACTGTCTTTTCTTTTAATTTTCAGTTAATTTTAAATTATGATTGTCCTGATATTCTTTGTAGTACAGAAAAAAACTTCAGTGACTCAAGCAGTATTAACTTTGAGCGCTATTATCAAGCTATTTTATACAGTGTGTAAAAGCCAAATGGAATAAATTCAATGTATAGGTTACTGTACATATTTATAAAAAAATCCCGAAACACATCAAATTTAAATTATAACTTGACATTCTTTAACGTGAAAATGCAACCCCTACCTTCAACCCCCTTAGAATGACAGGTAGGTACACCCCCAATTTTTAAAATAGGAAGTATCGGCTTGTCATATATCGTTTGAAAGGTCTTTTCAATCTCCATGCAAAAATGTTGTCACTTTCAAGTTTATTAAGATTAATTAAGATAAAATAAATTAAAATCATGTGGTTACCGAAATTCGCTTAAATATACTCAAAACTTATTTCCCGTTTAGGTCTTGATAATGAGAAAGTGAACAAAAACCATAGCAATGTGGTTTTTAGATGGTAACCATTAAAAAACATTAAAGAATTTCCGTGGTAACGTTATTTTAACACGCATTAGGAAATTGTTTTATTTAAGTTGTCAGTAAAAAGTTCGTTCAATTCAATTCTGAAACATGGTTAGATTAACGGAAATGCATAAAATAACAGTTTTACAAATGATTGGTTACGGAGATAACACCCGAACACAACAGGAAGTAACTCGCCTATTTCATGAGAAATTTCCTAATTTACCACCTATATCCCAAGAAACAATAAGTAAAATAGAGAAGCAGTTTCGTGAGTTTGGTCATGTAAGGCAGATAAAAAAAGCAGCTGCCAATGCACTGAGTGATGAACTCAAATTAGATGTGTTGCTTGAGTTTCAGGAAAATCCACATACATCGAGTAGACAGGCATCCACTACATTCAATGCTAGCCATACATCGATAGTAAACATATTAAAAGAAAATAAGTTGCATCCCTATAAGATGATACCTACTCAGGAGCTCATGGAAGACGATTTTGATAGGAGAACTTTTTTGTGAGCAAATGATGAACATGTTGGATAACAATATTATCCAATTAGAAGACGTTATGTTTTCTAATGAGTGTACTTTTTCACTTAACGGTCATGCTAATCGGCAAAATTGCCGCTACTGGGCCACGGAAAATCCTCACTGGATGAGACAAGAACACACTCAATACCCTCAAAAGGTTAATGTTTGGGCAGGGATTGTAGGAAACAATATCATTGGTCCCTTTTTCATTGAGGGCAACTTGAATGGCAACAATTATTTGGCACTACTTCAAAATGATGTCATTCCAACGTTGGCAAATTTATATCCTGATCCAGGAAACCCTCAAGTTCCACCGAATACGATATGGTTTCAGCAGGATGGAGCACCACCACATTATTAACTTAATGTCCGGCAGTATCTTGATACAATATTTCCCAATCGGTGGATAGAGAGACGAGGATCGATTGAATGGCCAGCGCGATCACCTGATCTTACATTATTAGATTTCTTTTTATGGAGATATGCGAAGAGCCATGTGTACAAAACTAAACCTTCTGATTTAAATGACTTAAAAGAACGAATAACGCTTGCGATTAGGTACGCCTGTTATGTTAAATAATGTTAGAAGACAGTTTTATTTGAGATTAGGATGTTGCCAAGACGTACGCGGTGAACATTTTGAACATCTACTTCATTAACATTCATAGTTCTTTTTCGTGTTCTACATTTTATTACGTTTTGCATTACATTTTAGTTTTTGATTGTATTGTAGCGAATTTCGGTAACCACATGATTTTAATTTATTTTATCTTAATTAATCTTAATAAACTTGAAAGCGACAACATTTTTGAATGGAGAATGAAAAGATTTTTCAAACGATATATCACAAGCCTATACTTCCTATTTTAAAAATTGGGGGTTGTACCTGTCATTCTAAGGGGGTTGAAGGTAGGGGTTGCATTTTTACGTTAAAGAATGTCAAGTTATAATTTAAATTTGACCTGTTTCGTGATTTTTTATAAATATGTACAGTAACCTAAATAATGAATTTATTCCATTTGGCTTTTACACACTGTATAACAGAAGTATAAAAAATTCACAGGTCAATAGTTAGTATTTAAAGCTCCACAATATTAAAAACATTTAGCGTAGGAAAAAATTAACTTTATGTCTTTAAGTATGTGTCTTCAGCTACCCCTCTCTTACCTTTTAGAGTCTTCAAAAACCTGTAAGATTTTTTAATTTTTTTTCTTTACAGGCCTATTAAGCACTTTGAGAATACTTTTATGAATATTTCTATGTGAACGAATCTAAAGTTAGTTCTATATCATAAAAATTTTAAAATAATTGGTAATTTGTTGTCAACTACGTAATATGTTTCGACTAAATTGTCGGTAAAAAATTTTGTTATGGATTATTTTTCTGGGAAATGATTATTATTGGCTTATAGGGTAATAAATTATAGAGTGAATTTTATTATCTTATAAATCGTCCCAAGATGATATTTATTAATTATAAATGTAAAAATTATTTGAAATAGGAAAATAAAAATTGAACAATGGTGATCTATTATAATTAATTTACTCCTGGTGACAATATTTCCACCAAATTTTTAACTACTTTAATCAATAGCGTGTATTCAGTGAACCTTTTTGTGAAGACCATCAAAAGAATATCACTGACATATACACAGAGGCTACATATAGCATTTCAGACTAATCGGAGAAATTAAAAATCAATCTAGTCAATTATAAAAAACTATATCACATAACGAAAACCTATTCAACATATAAGGGATAAATTGTGGAACAGCACTGTTTAAATACTCAGTACAAATTGGCAACAAATTGAATGGAAGTAAAGTTGATACTGACATAATAAATATGATACTTCTTCTTCTTGTAGTGCTTATCTGTTTCGGATGTTCCCAACCATCATAGCAATCTGTATTTTGCAAACTACTGCTCTGAAAAGATTTGTGATTGTTGTGTTGAACCACGTAAGTAGATTTTTCAACCAAGAAATCCTTCGCCTTCCTGGACCTCGTTTTCCTTCTACTATTCCTTGTAGAATTAATTGCCGCAACCGATATATTTCGCTGTTCCTCATTATGTGACCGAAGTATTCGATTTTGGCTGTTTTTATTTTGGTTAACACCTCTTTTCTTGCAAAGCCTCAATTTTCTTGCAAGTAGCATCTATGATAGTCTATGACTCAACTCCTTATAACAGTATAGGAAAGATATAACATCGTAATAGTAACCTAATTTTTATGGGTACTGATAAATCATGGCATTTGAATAGCTTAGCAATTTTTTGAAATGAGGATCTGACTTTCTCTATCCTACATTTCATTTCTAGGGAATGGTCCCAATGTTCATGGACGTTTGTGTCAAGGTAGGTGTATACTCTTTCTATTGGCTGAACATTCACACTGATTCTTTCAATTTGCTGTTCCTTCTTAGAGATCATCAGGCACTTTGTTTTCTTACAGTGAAAGTTCATATCTCTGACTCACTTCTGTGATTCTATTAATTAACTGCTGGAGAGCTTCCTAACTGTCAGCGAATACCACCGTATCATCCGCGTATCTGATATTATTGATACATTATGTGTTAATTCGAATTCCGGCGTTAACATACTCTACTGCTTTTTGAAAGATTTCCTTAGAGTATATGTTAAACAGCAGGAGTGATAGTACAGTAGATAGGTAGTAGACATCCATGTCGGACCCCACGTTTGATTTTGATATCATCGGATTCTCCTGCCTCTGTACGGATAGATGATGTTTGACTCAAGTAAAGA